CGGCTGCTGTGATTAGAATAATAAATTAAAACAAAATGAGCAATATGCTCCAGTGCAGCTTTTGGAGGAATTATATTTTTCACAAATCGCAAATGAAGATTTGAAGGCATTTTGATTGGCTAATAAAAAGAGAGAGAGAGCACAGAATAGCATGATATTTCGTACTACAGGCTGGGTTGGTGGTGGTATGGTGTTGAACTCATTTCAGCAATACTGAAGTAATGATCATTTCCAAATCAGCTACTTTCTGAAAAGCATTATCTTCTTTCAAATTACTTTGCCCCATAAAAATGCCCCTTTCCACCCCTCTTTTATTCCTTTCATCTTCAAATGATGAAGTGATTACCAAAAAATAAAAAAAATAAATAAAAACGTCTTTCATCTAAAAGATGTGATCTGCTTATGTTGACTATAAGCCATAAACATCTTCCCACCCTCACCCCCACCCCACACACATCAAATGAACAGCTTTCCCTTGCAATTTCAATAATTTAATTCTAACCCTATGATAGATACGTCTCGTTCGGGAGATTCCTTCAAATCAAACCACTTAAAAAGCTGGACTTAAATATGATGGATAGACTGCAGATCTAGCTTTTTCACATACACACACACTTTTTAACTACCTCCCCTCTCAATGTACTTATTTCGGGATTAACTAAGTTTTCTTGCCTCTTCTGTTCCAAATCAATGCATGATTGCCTATCCAGTCAATTCCTGAAGCCCTGTGGGGATAAGGTGAGGGGAAGGAATGAAGGTGAGGGAAAGAAAATTCTTTTGAGTCAGTTAGGGAGGCGGGGATATGATGCTCCCAAGTTTGGCTTTGAAAGGTGTGGGTTAGCATTGAGTTCATTTACTTCTACGTAGTAGTCCCTGGAAGGTGATAGCCACCGAGACAGATAAAAAGTGAAGCCGGATACTATACTATACTATACTATACTATACTCTACTATACTATACTATACTATACTATACTGGTCCGGCCTTACCTTACCTTAGCTATAACAGTAATAAAATGGCTTACCTTTCTACTCTGCAGCTTCATAAAGGGGAGAGAATAGCAAAGCTTTACGGCGGATCGCTCGAAAAGAACCAGCGAATTAAGGGAATCTAGGGTATCCAATCAAGGATATGTCATTTAATAACAGGGGCGTGCGCCTCTTCGGGCAAGAGCGGTGACTTTGTGTTGTGGATTGGAATTCTATCCGCGGTAGCAAAGAACGAGCCGGTTGGTATCATGTGCGCGGTTATGATATTTTTTACACCGTCGTTCAAAGCATATTCCTAACCAGAATTTTGAGAGGAAGGCAAAGCCACCTCTGTGCTCATCATCGGGGAAAGCAGGCGTTCTGTGCGTGTGCTTTTTTAAAAAAATTTTTTGTTCGTTTGAAGAGTCTTGCTCCTTCGCAGACAACCTGAGCTAGACCTCTGTTCTTTTTCAGGTTCACAAGTTCCGGGGGGACCCCTCAGCAACCGCGTTCAGAGCATTCAAGGAATCCTCGAGCGTGACTATAGTTTCTGCCAAAACCTCCAGACACAAATACAAGCAGTCAGCCGGGAATAACCAGAAATCCTGAAGTGGAAGAACTGGGGGGGTACCCAGTTGGTAGGCAACACATTATCTCCCACCTTGTACAGTTGTCTACCGCGGCATCTAGGGCTTCACACCCGCACTCAGCCGCATCCCACACACCCCTACAGAGACACTAACTTCGCCCTTAACGCATTACAGGACCCCAGGGCTGGTTTGGGAAAGTTAAGAATGCTCCAGAGCGCCCTTGGTCTTTTCCAGGTTCAGTTGGTTAAGCCAGGATATCTCTGAGGAATCTCACCACGCCTTATCTGGGCATCTTTATAAACAACCTGTCCATTTTCATATCAGAGACAGAAGTGGGACATACTGTAGTCCGTTTCACAAACGGGATATGCGAATATGTGTATAGTAATATGTTGTTCACCCTCCTCTCATATTGAAAACACTCTCCCTGTGTCTGTTTCACACACACCTACATATCTCTTATCTCTCTCTCCTCGCTTCTTCGCATATAAAGAATAAAGATAGATTTAGGTAAGTTTATTTTAAAAAAAAGAGTAAAGTTTATTAAAAAATAGAGAGTAAATATACTGGGATATATTATATATATATAATATAAACATATACAGAGAAGAAAGAATCATTATATGTTATTGTATATATATAGGTTTATGTGTTTGAGAGACGGAGTGAGGGAGAGAGGGAAGCACTGGTAGAATCAGAGAGAAAAATATACATGCACTCAATGTGTAAATATATTAGACAATAGCCTTTATGTCAAATAAAGAGCGGGGATGTGGGTCCACCAACCTCCACACAATGAAAAAAAAATCGTTCAGAATGTACTGTCAGTTTCACTCTGTTTCTGAACAGCTGGATTGTGTGACATAAAGAGCCGTCCTTTTTCCTGCTTCCCTAGTGCCTTTCAGATCACTTTATGCTGCTCAGGTGGGCAGGTACATAAGAAAAACGGATTACTTCTGTCAATTTTCATTTTCGTGAAACCAAGCCAGAAAAAATGAAGCAAAACACCCCAGAAGGCTCTGTGTGAAATGCCAAACTATGACATTTTCTATGGACATCTTTTGTGGGGAATACCAGTGAAAGGTACATCTTTCCTGTACTAAATTTGCTTCAAAAATGGAAAAAAAGAGAAGGAGGAGGAGGAGGAAGGAATTATTTATATACTGTATACCAAAGAGAAAAGTCTAATGCTAGTAGAGGAAGTAATTTGGAAGCTAGTAAGAGAATGCAAAACTAAAAGTAAACTTAGGAAGTGAAGGTCATAACCCTCTAGTCCTTAGATGGAGATAATTCCTGAACCTCTGTATAGATACTGGATTGTCTGTGTAATGTGCAGTCCAACCATACACGTATTTCCTAGGAAACAAGTTCTACTCTGTTCATTCAGTGGCGCTTGGTACAATAATGTATGTCTCCAGCTTTAGTTGTCTTCTAGCACAGTTCCAGAATATGAGGGATGACGTGTTGATCAGTTTTCACCTCGCCTCTTGGTTTACTCGGCTGCTATCTAGATGTTAAGCCCTATGTGATACCAAGTCTTGGGATTTTCATGGTTGGAAGTCAAACTCCCATTAGGATTTTAGCCCCAAGTCTGCAAACGTGTTAATGTAACGCCTTGTTCCTGTGGAAGTGAAAAGCTGGCTCTTGGTGTTGAACTGTGAGGTAACTTGAACATATGAATTGTCTGCTCCCAAAATCCATCACGACTTCCTGAGTCAGGATCTAAAGAACTACTAAGGTATTTAATAAGACTAAGACTTTTCCCCCCTCAATTTTTATTGTTTATTTACGTAATGTCTCACGTATACAATACAAATCCACGGTTACCAGAACTGGCTTTCTGGTAGAAATTGCTACATTCAGAGTTTTGAACACGCAGAGGATGATGATTTACATAAAACAAATGATTTGTGTGTGTGTGTGTGTGTGTGTGTGTGTAATTCGAGCATGTTGCATTAACAGATAAGTCAAGACAAATAGATAACTATACATTCAGTGCAATTTAAGTCCTAAACTACATTATAAGCACAATAAAATAATACAATACTGTGCATTCTTATCTAGGCAGTTTCAGTTGTTGGGAATTATTTTTTTTTCCAAGAAAAATAAGCAGCAACATACGACAACAAAACCGCATTACAAATACTTTCAAAGCATGACTCCTTCTATAGGTAGTGATAAGATACATAACAATTTTTTTGTATTTTTATTTTTTTATCATCATCATCATCATCATTGTTTTTCTGCTACTTAGTAGCTTGCATTAGGGCAATACATAATGTTCAATTTTAATATGATTTCCCACAAGGTTGCTTTTTGTTTCACTACGTATAAGCCCCGACCTTGTTGCTAGTAGATGATTATTGCAGGTTTCCCATTAGGTAGTATGTTAAGAATTTCGAGTGCTCACACAAGAAATCTAGTAAACAACGCCCATAGAAATCATTAGACAGCTCCCCATCTTTCACACCTCTCCTAAGCACATTGACTGAAACGTCAACCCCACTGATTTGAATGGAACTTTTGTTTCCAAGTGAATCTGCCCAGGGTAACAAAAACTTTGTCTGCCAAATCACAGGACATAGATAGGTAGATGCTACATACAGATAAAAGTCATAGACAAGCAATAAGCATGTGGTTCTGTCTTCAAGGCATCTGTCAAGCCTCCATCATCCCCCAGAATTGTCCTTCAGTAGATAGGAACTGAGAGCTAAGAGATTTTAAAAAATGGTAAGGGGACTTGAACAGAGCTGAAGATGTAGGTAGGTAGGGTGGCTCTTTGCTGTTGCTTTGTTCATTTGAACTTAAGACTAAGCGTCAGGCATTTTCACGCCGGCCCACCAGCCCTTTTTATACATTTCTAAGCTTGCAGAAGTGGAGTTGGTGGTGTTGGCGGCAGAGAACAAGGTTGCAAAAATAAGTCTTTCCTTATTCTGAATAAATACATAGGGTGCATGTATTTATTACCATTATTGTTTTTAATTTTTAGCCTATAGTCAGGAGTGGAAGAATGTGAGGTCACTGCTCTCAAGGATGGTGAGGAGGTCCATTGCTACGGGAAGAATATCTTGAGTTTGTGCTGGGTGATACTCAAATCCAGTCCCATGTTTATTTCGGGGCGGAGGGGAAAGAAAAATTAAACAGATATATAGATATAGATATTATAACGCTGCTCTAAGGGGAAAGGCGAGCAGGGGAAGTTCTATGACAATAAAAAGAGGGGGGCGATGATACAACTGTTTGACAGGTAGTTACTGTTGTGTGTGAGTCTCTCCATTCTATACTCTATAAAAGCGAATGACCGTCGTAAACATCTCGATTTATCATCTGCCATAAAACGAGGACTTCAAGGAGCTGAGAGAGAGAGAGAGAGAGAGAGAGAGATTGTGTGTGTGTGTGTGTGTGTGTGTGCGTGTGTGTGTGTGTGTCTGAGAGAGAGCGCTCAGTCCTTGCTTTCTTCTTTTTCCTCTTCTTCTTTTTCTTCTTCCTCGTTGGTTTCCTCCTCAGTTTTCTCCTCGTCCCTGGCTCCGGGGAGTTTATCCTTGTTGTTTTCTTTCTTCCATTTCATTCTCCTGTTCTGGAACCAGATCTTGACTTGCCTCTCTGTCAGTCCCAGGGCGTGAGAGACCTCAATGCGCCGCTTCCGTGTCAAATAGGGGTTGAAGAGGAATTCTTTCTCTAGCTCCAGGGTCTGATACCGGCTGTAAGTCTGCCTGCCACTGCGCCTTCCGGGAGCTGTGGAACAAGCAATAACAACATAGACAGAAAACGGGTTAGAGTCGCTTCTCTCCTCTCTCCCTCCTTGCTTTGATTTTCTACCTTCTCTTTATCGGAGTTCTCGGCAAACGCCTTCTTTCCATACCCTCTTCTCTTCACCTTCTCTCTGTCTGTCATGTTGACTGTTGATTCTCTGCTGTAAACACGGTGCTTTTAAAAATTTAGAGTGATGACTTCTCAGCCTTGCGAGCTCGCAGGCTTTCTCCTAACAGTTCTAGGTGGTTTGGCTAGTTTGAGTATTTTTCTTTTGGGATAGACTATAGTCTACTGTTTGTGGGAGTGTCTTCTGATGCATCTATATGCATGGCTGTACCAACAGACCCCCACAAACAGTAAGGATGTACCTAACGCATATCCTGAAACAACGATTATTTTTCTCAGCCTTGCGAGCTCGCAGGCTTTCTCCTAACAGTTCTAGGTGGTTTGGCTAGTTTGAGTATTTTTCTTTTGGGATAGACTATAGTCTACTGTTTGTGGGAGTGTCTTCTGATGCATCTATATGCATGGCTGTACCAACAGACCCCCACAAACAGTAAGGATGTACCTAACGCATATCCTGAAACAACGATTATTTTATTTA